TATCTACAAAAACTCCCTGTCTCTTCATCTCATCTACAAATACTCCTAGCTCTCCATATCGCCCTTCAGCTCGTCTGTAAAGACTCCCTTCAGCTCGTCTATTAAGACTCCCTTCCGACTCGTCTATAAAGACTCCCTTCCGACTCGTCTATAAAGACTCTCTTCCGACTCGTCTATAAAGACTCCCTTCCGACTCGTCTACAAAGACTCCCTTCCGACTCTTCTACAAAGACTCCCTTCCGACTCGTCTACAAAGACTCCCTTCCGACTCGTCTTCAAAGACTCCCTTCCGACTCGTCTACAAAGACTCCCTTCCGACTCGTCTACAAAGACTCCCTTCCGACTCGTCTACAAAGACTCTCTTCCGACTCGTCTACAAAGACTCCCTTCCGACTCGTCTACAAAGACTCCCTTCCGACTCGTCTACAAAGACTCCCTTCCGACTCGTCTACAAAGACTCCCTTCCGACTCGTCTACAAAGACTCCCTTCCGACTCGTCTACAAAGACTCCCTTCCGACTCGTCTACAAAGACTCCCTTCCGACTCGTCTACAAAGACTCTCTTCCGACTCGTCTATAAAGACTCCCTTCAGCTCGTCTATAAAGACTCCCTTCAGCTCGTCTATAAAGACTCCCTTCAGCTCGTCTATAAAGACTCCCTTCAGCTCGTCTATAAAGACTCCCTTCAGCTCGTCTATAAAGACTCCCTTCAGCTCGTCTATAAAGACTCCCTTCAGCTCGTCTATAAAGACTCCCTTCAGCTCGTATAAAAAGACTCCCTTCAGCTCGTCTATAAAGACTCCCTTCAGCTCGTATAAAAAGACTCCCTTCAGCTCGTCTATAAAGACTCCCTTCAGCTCGTCTATAAAGACTCCCTTTCAGCTCGTCTATAAAGACTCCCTTTCAGCTCGTCTATAAAGACTCCCTTTCAGCTCGTCTATAAAGACTCCCTTTCAGCTCGTCTATAAAGACTCCCTTTCAGCTCGTCTATAAAGACTCCCTTTCAGCTCGTCTATAAAGACTCCCTTTCAGCTCGTCTATAAAGACTCCCTTTCAGCTCGTCTATAAAGACTCCCTTTCAGCTCGTCTATAAAGACTCCCTTTCAGCTCGTCTATAAAGACTCCCTTTCAGCTCGTCTATAAAGACTCCCTTTCAGCTCGTCTATAAAGACTCCCTTTCAGCTCGTCTATAAAGACTCCCTTTCAGCTCGTCTATAAAGACTTCCTTTCAGCACGTCTGTAGAGACTCTTATTCAGATCGTCTATTACTCCCTTTCGCACCCTTCAGCTCTTATATAACGACTGCCTTCATTTCCCTTCGTTGGCACTTCTGTCTATTTATAAAGAAATCCAGATCCGTCAATACAGCGATCAGCGTCTTAAGGTCGCTCTATTCGGCTATAATTCTGCTTAACCTCTCAGCGGGTCTATAAACATTCCCTGGCCTGTCGGCCATACTTAAAGTACCATTGACCCTGCTGCTTGTATAAAAAAATACCTGGCCCATTCTCGTCCACAAAGACTCATTAATCTGTTATCACAAAGAATGATAAAAATCGCATGCATTGCGGTTCATTGATGCTAATAGAACTTGTGTATTGAGGTTTATTATTATAAATATTATTTTTTATATATATTTTAAAAATCTATGTAATAAACTTTGCCCCATGTAGCGTACTGGCAATAAATCAAAAACAGAATAAAAAAATTAAAAAATCTACCAAGATGACTCATTAGCTGTGTTCGTAGACCCGCTAAGTAAGATTTTCAATTCGAGGTATAAACATACCGATTTGAATTTTTGCTGTTGTTGTTGTAATTGTTTTCCTCTTTTGGTATTAATAATTCATAAAAAAAGACACAACAGTCAGTCGGTCTATGGTTGAGTCTGATTATGATGATGCGACTACGCACTTCGAATCATGTACCACCATCAGAGCTTATCAACGTTGGAAAAAATAAATAAATAAAAAAATTATGACAATGATGACGATGATAGACGTTCTGAATGACGGGCTGACTGAGCCAAGACTGAGTGTTAAGCAATTCTGATTACCATACTCATTCTCTGTGTGTGTGTGGAAAACAATTCCGCTCAGAAATCAGCAATGCATTGATTTGATCATTTAGTCGTAATTATAAATCGCTAATAACTGGAATTAATGTAGACAACAAATAAAGTTTAAGTTTTTCCGATCCGTTAATTACGCTGTTTTCAAAACGATAACGACAACGAAGTAGTATAGATACGAATTCGAAATTAAAACTCAATTGAAGATTAACAATTTTAAATAAACGAAAAATAAAAAAAATAAGTTTAAAAATCCGAAAATTCTAAGGAAATTGGAGCGAGAAAAAATATTTTATAAACAATTCGAAAAAGTTTTTCACAACTAATATTACAATTACCATGAGCATCTATACCGATAAAAGTATGCATTATATATATATATTTTTTTTTTTCAAAATAATAGTAACCTATTCGTGACTAATCTTTAAAAATATTTAAGTGATTATTTTCAAATCATTTGATGTTTTAAATACCTTCAATAACATCCATCCAAATAATTGAAAACGACAGTATGTGCTCGTTTTAGTAATAAACAGTTTGAAGCATGTCATAGAATATCGATGATCCAGAATTCGTTCTAAATAATTTGTATGAGATCATTGAAATGCAGTTTTTCGAAAGTGAAATAGAAATTGTGATAAATTATGATACTACTGGCTGAATATCGATGTGGACATTTGACTTTGAAGATTAAAAATATAATTATTTTTTAATCGGTCCTTAAGGACCTTAAATTCCTATTCGTTTGTGAAGGCCAATGGTAACTTTGAAGTCTCCCTGTGTCTTCAGATCGTCTGCAGGTAATCCCTTATCATTCCGTTCCTCTATATAGACTGCTCATTTTCTTTTGATCATCTACATAGCCTGCCTGCCTCTCAGCTCGAAATTCCGGGCCCTTCGACACATATAACATTCCACACCTCTTCGGCTTGTATATAAACCTTTCTTGTTTCATTAGCTATATTATTCTGGTTGTCTATAAAAAATTCCTTATGCCCTTCAATTTTTATAAATATTACCTAGCCGTTCCGCTACAAATACTTCTTGGAGTATATGAACTCAGCCCGGAACTTTAAATTGCCTACAAAGACGTCATGATGTCTGTCTTCACCCGACCAAAAATATCGCATACCTTCAGTCAGTCAGTCAGTCTATAAAAATGACATGGACCAGGTTGCGACGAGCTGGTGCCTCAATAAATAATCCCTGACCTTGCAGTTCGCCTAGCACAAAGCCCCTTGTGCTTTCTCATAAATATTCATTGGTCATTTGATTTATCGATTACTCCTAATTGACCCTTTCGGTGATCTATAAATGAACCCTGATTTTTCAACTCGCCTATAAAGACTTCCTGGCTTTAAAGCTTATCTAGAAAGACACTCTACCTACGTCTCATCTACAAAGAATTCCTGGTTATTCAGTTCCTCTATAAAGGTTTCGTGAATCTGCTTCTATAAGAGACTTCCTATTTATTTACCCTGTTTACAAAGACACCCTTGTCCTTTAGCTTCTCTATATGTGCTCCCTGAACTTTCAGGTCTCCTATACGGCTTCCCTGGCTCTTCAGTTCGTAGATAATAACTCCGATAAATCTGAAAGATTCAGATTCTCTATAAAGATTCTCTAAATATTCTGGATCCTATAACTCGTCTTCGTCCCGTTTACGGATATTCCTGGCCCTTCAGATCCTCATTTAGTTCCTCGTCATTTAGTTCGTCGATAAAAACTCCGTGTCTTTTCAGCTTCTCTATAAAGACTCAATGGCCTTTCAGGGACCTTTTCACTCGTTTATGAAGATCTAACGGATTTAATCTCGTGACCCTTCAGATGCTCTATAAAAGTTCCCAGAACTTGCTGATTTTCTATGAATATTCTGGCCCTTCAGTTCGTCTCATAATTTCTTGTACAACTATTCCGTTGCCCTTCAGCTTTCCTATGAAGATTCCCCGGTGAATTAAATTCGTATCTTAAACATATTTTGCTTTTTTATGACGTTCATATTTTCTTGATGTAGTGTTAATGTATACACACTCCCTGATCCTTCAGCTCACCTTTTGTATTTATTAAAGGTTCAGGTCGTCAACAAAAACTTATTGGCTTTCTGCTCATGTGAAGGGGAATCCCCCACCTTTTGCCTTCTCGCCTTATATAAAGACTCCCTAGTCCTCACATCCTCTACAAAAATTCCCTTTCAGTTGGTCTACAATTATTCCCCACATCGATCAATTCTTGCCTCCAGCTCATCTTTTACGTTCTACATTAAATCTATGTTCCTGTGAGGTTCTGAAATTCTCATGAGGACGAGAAAATTTAACCTGTAACCACATCTGTTAAAACACGCGGATATGATCTTTAAAATGCCTTAAATGAGCTTGGACTTCTGTATCTATATTCGCGATTTTCTTCAGGAGGTGGTTTATGCCCTGAGAATCTGAAATGTCAGTGTAAAAATGCAACTACGACCTCCGAAAATGGGTCGGGACAGGTATATGGAGGCTATACTAAAACGTGAACAGACTTAAATACAAATCTCAATCTTAATTATTTCAAGCTTTATCTTGATTTCAACAGAGATGCGAGCATGGCTAAATCGGAATATATCATTATTATAATTTAAATGAGATGATAGGGCCCAAGACATTATACACTTAAAATTAGCGTACACAAAGTGAAGAGGCAAGCCCAGACAGTCCCATATTAAAAGCAAATGGTCAGAGAGTTATATACACGAATAAACACCCATTAGGCCTGAGCTCCTTTAAATACGATCGTTTTCAGTTTTTTTTCCATTTTATTCTGAATTAATGGAGCATATCTATAAATGCGTTTATAGTTCAGCCCGAACAATTCATTACCTTAACTACTCAAATATTTACAATATAAACTAATAATATTGGTTTTCTCTTTCTTTTCATTTTGTTTATTTACAGTACAACGAGGATTTTTACAAATGTAAGTAAATTGACGAAACCCCATTCGAGTTTTAAAAATCTAATAAACACCTTCTTTCCATTTCATTCCAGTAACAGTAAAGTTTCACCGAAAAGCGAAAAGAAAGCCTACAAAGCACTGCGGAACGCTCAGACAACAAGTCTCTATATGGAGGATGGTTTGAAACCAAAATACCCCATCTTTGGTACCCCACTCGATCAATTGGAGCTAAATCGTACAACATGTCCGAATGTACCACGTTTTGTTGTCGATTCGATAGAGTATATTGAGCGGAATGATCGTATTGTACAGGATGGCCTATACAGGGCATGTGGCAATAAATACATTATCGATGAATTGAAACAAAAACTGAGTAAATCATATATTTACGATCCGAAACTAATAGCAGCCGATGATATACACACTGTTACAAGTTTACTTAAACAATTCTTTCGTGATTTGCCACAACCGCTAATACCGCAAGAGACATACAATTGTCTGGCCCGTGATCTGCTCAAATCGTCCGATAGCCATGAGACATTCCGAATAGCAATAAATGAGATGCCCGAACCGAATAAATCCACGCTGGCATATCTAATAAAGCATTTAACAAAGTAAGTTTAACAACAAATTACACATGTAAATAAGTATGTGTGTTGATTGGAACTCATTTTGTTCTGATTTATTTATTTGAAACAATTTGAATATATTTACAAAACGTGTTGGAAGATTTTATGTTTGTACTAATTCTTTTTTATTGAGTAAAAGTTCTATTTGGTATTTTATGTCATTTTGCAGACTGGGTTATATTAAATGTGACCTACTACCTTACATTTTTAGAATATTTCGTAGTTTTTTTTTACTGTTGGTATTTATTTAAACATCTTAGGAATTTCAATCAGGGCAATTTACAACAATAGGCGTCAATTCCGTTACACTCAAGAACATAATATTAAAATACGATGCTATTTTATGGACTACAAAATATTTCATTAGTTGACTATAGAAAAATAGTCGTCGTATTGTTGTAAAATAAATATGTGAAGCTTGCGGTCGATTTAAGAAGAAGATAGATCTTTCATTCAAATATGGTACTCCTAGGATTTTTTGTCTAAAAGTCAAAATATCGGACTATGTTTTGGAATATACAGGTCCAACGATTTCCTAATGTTCATAACTCCAATTTTAATGGTTTTAATGCTCTCCTAAATTCGGAAATTTGGTTCTCGGATTTTCACGGAAAGTGGTCAGAACCTAAAATAGACTTTCTATTTTAGGTTCTGATACAAATCTTCGTATTCCAGAAAAGTTTACAAAACTTATTTCGTTAATCCATTGGGTTTAAATGGTCAATTCCATTATATATATATATATATAAGATACTAGAGTTATTTTCCAAAGTACATTAATGTAATTTGGTATTTCCAATTCTAAATGTTTTTACCTGTCGATATAGTTCAGTATTTTGACAAAAAAATTATGTATGCATATAATCCCAAATCCCGTTTTAATTTCCCAAGCGAAATGGTTAATTGACTATATCGTTAACATCTGTCCTGTTTTGAAATAGCCCCACGATATAATTGTCTATATGTCATTTACCTATTTCTAACCTCTTTATACAACTCACCATATATGTATTATAAAACAGTAAGGAAAGTAGTAAAGTCGGACTGGACCGACAATATGATACCCTTCACCACTTTGGGTATATTGTACATATGTATCCTAACAATTGAATGTCTATGTTCCCTCTTTCTTCAACCTATCCTAACTTTAATTTCATTCGAGCAGATTTAGAGCCGTCTGCGTAACATGGGGACAATTTATGGAAAACGATTTATATCAAAATTGATGCACGCTATTCGGTACGCCGCGTTGTTGAAAATATAATCCATATGTGGGAGCTATATATAAATCTGAACCGATTTTCAAGAAAATTAACACACATCATTCTAGACTTAATTCAGCACGCTAAGCGAAATTTCGTGCAAATCGAAGGATACAACGGGACTTTGGTGCACTATTTACCGAAAATCGGACGAAAATATATATGGGAGCTATATCTAAATCTGAACCGATTTCCATGAAATTTAGCAAAAATCGTTTTAGACTTAATTCAGTACGCTGTGCCAAATTTCGTGCAAATCGATGATATATAGGGACTTTGGGGCACTATTTACCTAAAATCGGACGAAAATATATATGGAAGCTATATCTAAATCTGAACCGATTTTCACAAAATTTAGCACACATAATTCTTGACTTAATTCAGTACGCTGTGCAAAATAGAGTCTTTGGTACACCATTTACCTTAAATCGGACGAAAATATATATGGGAGCTGTATCCAAACCGATGAACCGATTTTCACGAAACTTAACACACATCATTCTAGACCTAATTGTTTACGCTGTACCAAATTTCGTGAAAATCAAAAGATATATAGGGACCGTTTACATTAAATCGGACGAAAATATATATGGGAGATATATCTAAATCTGAACTGATTTTTCAATAGGGTTCGTCCTTGGGCCAAATAAGTGACCTATGCCAATTCGGATTATAAATGCGACCTGTACTTTGTTTAGAATTTAACATCGACAGACAGACGGACGGACGGACTGACGGACATGCATAAATCGACTCAGAAAGTGATTCTATGCATATTCTCAAAAGGAAACATTTGTCTACCTCTTTTCCTTTTGCCTGTTACAAACATATGCACAAATACATAATACCCTGTACCACAGAGTGGTGAAGGGTTAAAAAACTTACGGCGGATTCTTCAGGATAAATGCCAGTAGTTTGACAATGCCTCAGGGAATTTACCATTTAGAGTTATCAGGGTATAAAGAGATCCTTGGGACGTTGTTGCATGACATATTGTAGTGCAATTTGGCTTTTAGGTCAAAAGAGGTTCAGATTCGGAGCATGCAATTTTCTCTATACAAAACTGTTTTCTCAGTGATCATTCTTTTGAGTTTGGAAAACCCAAAATAGTCACTGGGGTCTAGATTTGAAGAATACTGTGGATGAGAAATCCAGTCCAATATATGGCTTTTTTACCGTCAATGTGACACGGTGCATAATATTTTTCCGAAGCCACGTTACCATTGTGGTCGATTTTTTACAAAATATATTATTTTATTATATTATTTTTAAATGTTCTTACGCATCTAGAAATTATAGTCCAGAAAAAAATGTTTTAAAATGTCCAGTTCTAATATATTAAAAAATGGACCGAGCTCTTATACTACTGGGAAAATATTCTTCAAAATATCGACGATTTTGGCTCTGATAGTTCTACTCTTTGTAGACCCTACACAACAAAAATAATTGTTAATGAATATTTCAATTCATAGTTAATTTTTTCCGCACTGTACATGTCCCTTATAATCATGAGAAATCCTCATTTTTTTCAAAAAATGCTATCTTTTCATTAATATCACAACTATTTTCTTACTTCTAGTTCTTACTCGTATAAGGCTTAAAAACCACACTCTTATTCAAGAATTCAGATTTGATGTTCTTGATAACAATTATCTTTTATGTATAAATATGACATTGATGATTTAAATACATTTTTGTTATTTTTAACTATTCATTATTAATAATATTAATTATGATTTCTATTTTTTACAGTGTTGCCGCTTGCAGCGGATCAAATCGCATGACTGCTTCCAATTTGGCCATTGTTTGGGGACCATCACTCTTTACATTGAATGAGGCGAATACCTATGATATTGGACGGATGAATACCATAGCTAAAATGTTAATAGAAAACTTTGATCGAATTTTCTACACAAATGAACGTTTGCTTTAGGCTAAACTAAAAATTATTGTTATTATTATCATGATTATTAATATTGTAAATGTAATTATTAACAAATTTATTATATATATATACAACAAATATTGTTTATTATTTAATTATTTATTTAAAACAAAACCAATTTTTTGTCGACTTCCACAGTATCTGTCATCAAAATGTAATAATGGCAAAACAAAATAACAAATAATCAAAAAAAAAAGCTTTACTCATTAGTTTTTAGGTGGAAATTTTTTGAAACGAAATATATTAATAATGATCGCTTATATAATAAAAATTAGTTAGATTATATAATATTACTAAGACTTGAAGATAACATTTTTATAACATCACATTTTATTTTATTTTTTTTTTTTTAATTTTTACTCATTGATATACAGTGTGTCAAGAAAGTGTTGTAACAATGATATTTGTATTATATATTCTGGAAATGTTTTATTACAAATGAGGGTTACCCTCGTGTAGTTTTGAAATTTATATCTAATTAAAAAATAAACTTTCTTGACAGACTGTTGCTTACTTACATTAAAATATACTTATATAAACGAATAACTATCACAACATACCAAAAACATCTAAATTTTTTGTTGAAAAGACATTTATAATTCTTATATATAAGAAGATCACATTAAGTTATCTATAACAAATAGTTTTCCTTAAAGCAATATAATATAATGCAATATATGTATGTATCATATTCATTGTTTCGATATGATACTACAAAATAATCTCTCGATTTTCCATTGATTTTTAATAATCCAAAAATAATTCCCTCAATTTATATTTTTGATGTCAATTATAGAAGTAGTTAAAAAAGTGTAGGTGCTCCCCAAATACTTAAACTCTGTTTTAGGTATTCGATTTAATTCCAAATTTGTTTTTAATAAAAAATGTATTTCCATTTTATAGTTTTAGGTAAATAAAAAAAAAAACAAAAACATTTTAATGTGATAACTTAGCTAAGTAAGACTGTGTATATTTGTGTGCTCGTTTTTTTGTATATAAAAATAAGTGTAATAAAACAAAATCTAATACCAACAAGATGCTGGGTTCTGTCATTAAAAACATTAAAAAGGTATTGTTACACATTTTAGATCTTCAAAATCCATCCCTATAGCTTTAAAAGTCCTTATAATTTTGATTCGCCGTTGGAAAAATTTTAATAGATCTAAAAGTCCTATCGACAGGCCATCTTTATAGTAATTTAGGTCTTTGTCCATATTCCATTCCTTGGGGAAAACATTCAAAGTATCCACACTTTAAATTCTTTGGACAAGGTTCCGTTCCGTTCTTTGAAAGTAGTAATTTCACGAACATCATTATATAGTTTTTACCATAAATACTGGGCTTATAATGTTCAGTTAAAACAATAACTCATGTCGGCCGATAAACAAGAAAATCGTATCATTGCTGATTGGATTTTTGAAATGCACAAAATCGAAGAATCGTCTTGGCTGATGAAGTCCATTTCTAACTCGGTGGGACCTAGAATGAGCTAATGTTGTGAAACTTCTCAATCCTCAAGATGTAGCTGTTTACTTCGGATTATAATCTTTTGGTGTACCCTACTTTTTCGAAAATGAGGTTGGATAAGCAGTTACGATCTAAAGATTGGTATTGATCTGAAGATCACCTTTTTGGAAGATGGTTCCACAAAAATATAGCTCTTTTACGGAAAATACTTTACGGGCTGTATATTTTTCAATGGCCAACTGAGGCGTGGATTTATTAAAGAATATTTTTCAATGGCCAACTGAGGCGTGGATTTATTAAAGAATATTTTTCAAGGGCCAACTGAGGCGTGGATTTATTAAAGAATATTTTTCAAGGGCCAACTGAGGCGTGGATTTATTAAAGAATATTTTTCAAGGGCCAACTGAGGCGTGGATTTATTAAAGAATATTTTTCAAGGGCCAACTGAGGCGTGGATTTATTAAAGAATATTTTTCAAGGGCCAACTGAGGCGTGGATTTATTAAAGAATATTTTTCAAGGGCCAACTGAGGCGTGGATTTATTAAAGAATATTTTTCAAGGGCCAACTGAGGCGTGGATTTATTAAAGAATATTTTTCAAGGGCCAACTGAGGCGTGGATTTATTAAAGAATATTTTTCAAGGGCCAACTGAGGCGTGGATTTATTAAAGAATATTTTTCAAGGGCCAACTGAGGCGTGGATTTATTAAAGAATATTTTTCAAGGGCCAACTGAGGCGTGGATTTATTAAAGAATATTTTTCAAGGGCCAACTGAGGCGTGGATTTATTAAAGAATATTTTTCAAGGGCCAACTGAGGCGTGGATTTATTAAAGAATATTTTTCAAGGGCCAACTGAGGCGTGGATTTATTAAAGAATATTTTTCAAGGGCCAACTGAGGCGTGGATTTATTAAAGAATATTTTTCAAGGGCCAACTGAGGCGTGGATTTATTAAAGAATATTTTTCAAGGGCCAACTGAGGCGTGGATTTATTAAAGAATATTTTTCAAGGGCCAACTGAGGCGTGGATTTATTAAAGAATATTTTTCAAGGGCCAACTGTGGATTTATTAAAGAATATTTTTCAAGGGCCAACTGAGGCGTGGATTTATTAAAGAATATTTTTCAAGGGCCAACTGAGGCGTGGATTTATTAAAGAATATTTTTCAAGGGCCAACTGAGGCGTGGATTTATTAAAGAATATTTTTCAAGGGCCAACTGAGGCGTGGATTTATTAAAGAATATTTTTCAAGGGCCAACTGAGGCGTGGATTTATTAAAGAATATTTTTCAAGGGCCAACTGAGGCGTGGATTTATTAAAGAATATTTTTCAAGGGCCAACTGAGGCGTGGATTTATTAAAGAATATTTTTCAAGGGCCAACTGAGGCGTGGATTTATTAAAGAATATTTTCAAGGGCCAACTGAGGCGTGGATTTAAAGAATATTTTCAAGGGCCAACTGAGGCGTGGATTTATTAAAGAATATTTTTCAAGGGCCAACTGAGGCGTGGATTTATTAAAGAATATTTTTCAGGCCAACTGAGGCGTGGATTTATTAAAGAATATTTTTCAAGGGCCAACTGAGGCGTGGATTTATTAAAGAATATTTTTCAAGGGCCAACTGAGGCGTGGATTTATTAAAGAATATTTTTCAAGGGCCAACTGAGGCGTGGATTTATTAAAGAATATTTTTCAAGGGCCAACTGAGGCGTGGATTTATTAAAGAATATTTTTCAAGGGCCAACTGAGGCGTGGATTTATTAAAGAATATTTTTCAAGGGCCAACTGAGGCGTGGATTTATTAAAGAATATTTTTCAAGGGCCAACTGAGGCGTGGATTTATTAAAGAATATTTTTCAAGGGCCAACTGAGGCGTGGATTTATTAAAGAATATTTTTCAAGGGCCAACTGAGGCGTGGATTTATTAAAGAATATTTTTCAAGGGCCAACTGAGGCGTGGATTTATTAAAGAATATTTTTCAAGGGCCAACTGAGGCGTGGATTTATTAAAGAATATTTTTCAAGGGCCAACTGAGGCGTGGATTTATTAAAGAATATTTTTCAAGGGCCAACTGAGGCGTGGATTTATTAAAGAATATTTTTCAAGGGCCAACTGAGGCGTGGATTTATTAAAGAATATTTTTCAAGGGCCAACTGAGGCGTGGATTTATTAAAGAATATTTTTCAAGGGCCAACTGAGGCGTGGATTTATTAAAGAATATTTTTCAAGGGCCAACTGAGGCGTGGATTTATTAAAGAATATTTTTCAAGGGCCAACTGAGGCGTGGATTTATTAAAGAATATTTTTCAAGGGCCAACTGAGGCGTGGATTTATTAAAGAATATTTTTCAAGGGCCAACTGAGGCGTGGATTTATTAAAGAATATTTTTCAAGGGCCAACTGAGGCGTGGATTTATTAAAGAATATTTTTCAAGGGCCAACTGAGGCGTGGATTTATTAAAGAATATTTTTCAAGGGCCAACTGAGGCGTGGATTTATTAAAGAATATTTTTCAAGGGCCAACTGAGGCGTGGATTTAAAGAATATTTTTTAAGGCCCATGGGAGGCGTGGATTTAAAGAATATTTTTCAAGGGCCAACTGAGGCGTGGATTTATTAAAGAATATTTTTCAAGGGCCAACTGAGGCGTGGATTTATTAAAGAATATTTTGCAAGGGCCAACTGAGAAACATAAATCAAGTTCGAAGATAAAGGAATATCGGTCTAATCCTTTTGGTGACTCCTACACAAAATTTTACCAAAAATTAATTCGGTAATGTAATGCGAAGCGACTATCTGATTTGAACCAAACTTTGCACAGTCTAATATTATGTTTTAAACATACCTGCATTTTGTTGTAAAATGGAATCTATTGGCCCACTACTTTTAGTATGTCGCTTATAGCTCTAATAGCCCTTTGATATAATATTTAAACATATTATGTTTCGAAAAGATTTTTTTTTTTAAAATTGAAGCAGTTACGCTTCTATCTTTGGTAGTCGTTGAAAAAAAAAAACAAATTGAAAATATCCCATGCCACCGAAAATAAGTTATGCCACACAAATTTATTAATACAAAATATATTTTTGTCTTCTTATGTTATGAATAAAAAATCGACAAATATATTAAATTTTATATTTTTATTTTAAAACATTAATTTAAAACTGGTATTTTCCTTGAATTCCACCACCAAAATTATTATAATTCTGATCGAAATTACGTGTACCATGGGCATAGGCATCTATGGTACCACGTCCATCAGGAGTAGTGTACAAATTCTGATTCAGCTGTACCGAAGATTGACGTCCAAATTGATCCTTATTGAAGTCAGCCGAAGCACCACTACCAGCAGCCCATTTACCCTGTACACCCCCACCAAAGGCATTGGCATTATGATCGAAGTTGCGACTGGCATGGGCGTTGGCATCCAAAGATCTATCACCATTAGAGTAAATATTCTGCTTATATTGTACAGATGCTACACGACCATTTTGATCCTTGCGATAGTCCACACCAACACTACCACAATTGGGAGAACGAACATGGCGAAAGAGTGGTAATGGTTCATATTGCTCAAATTGATTATCCTG